GGGATAGCTTATTTTTTATACAGGCTGGCAGGTTTCTAGACATGTCAAAACAGAAACAAAACATAGAAGTAAGGCTTCAGGAATTATATTACTATTGGCTACAATTATGGTTAGCTAAAAATCATTCTGTGTAATTATGAATTCTGAGCACAAGCTAGTATAACACATCATCTGTCAAACATTTAACTTGAGAACTCTAAGAATTACCTAGCAAGTATCAAAGGCACAAGTGTATTTCAAGTATCATGAATGTAGCTGATGTGCCATATGATTTTGCTTGAAGACTATAAGTTTTCATGAGCCAAAATGGTGCTTATATATTTCATCTATCTGTTAAACAGATTCAACAAGTCCATTCCTCCCTTGCCCCATCCCAACCCACCCCACTGCTGAGAATCAAGCCAGCATCTCTTACATGCTAGGCAAGTACTGTACTTAACTGAGTTGCATCTGCCTTCTCTCCATCTTTCCTTTCAAATTAATAAATGAATACTTTAGCGGCTGGAGAGATGGCTCAGTGTTTAAAAACACTAGCTGAAGACCTGAATTCAAATCCCAGCATCCACATGGGATCCCCAGTTCCAGGGGATCTGACACCCTCTTCTGTCCTCCGCAGGCACTGCATGACACAGGTGCACTTACATGCATGCAGACATAACACTCGTACACATAAAATAAAGATAATTTTTGTTGTTGTTTTTTTAATAGGGTCTCCCTAGTCCCAGTCCACCTGGAAGTCACTATGTATCCCAGGCTGGCCTCAATCTCTCAGAGATCTGCCTGCCTCTACCTCTCAAGGGCTGGGATTAAAGGTGTTACACCCCTACGCCCAGCAAAAAATAAAAATATTTTAAATGTTAAACGAATACTTTAGAGGCTGGAGAGATGGATCAATGGATAAGAGTGTTTGTTCTGTAAGCATATGACCTGAGTTCAGATCCCAGTGCCCATGTAAAAGGTCAGGCTGTAAGGGACAGAGACAGGAAAATTGCTGAGGCTTACTGGCCATCAGCCTAGCTCCAGGTTCCCTGGGAGACCCCATCTCAAAGGAATAAGACAGAGAGTGATAAAACAGGACACTTAATGTCCTCCTCTGGCCTCTATACATGCAGAGGCATGCACCTCCTCCACATGTATGCACACATACACCATACTCACAAATGAACACACACACACACATACACACACACACACACACACACACACACACACACACACACAATGAAGACTTTAATACTACCTCATAATTAAGCCACAAATTATACCTTTATTTTGGGGTCATCAATTTCACACTGATTCACTATAGACCATTGTAAGTATACTGGTCTGCACAGGCTGCTATTAAAAATTACCATAGACTGGGTGTCTTAAACAGTACTTATTTCTAACAGGTCTGGAAGCTAGGAAGTCCCAGATCAGTAGCCAGCATGGTCAGTTATAGGGAAGGCACCTCTCTCTGACTTGTAGACAACTAGCTACCTTCTTGGCTATGGCCTCACAAGGTAGAGAGACAGAGCAAGCTCCTTGATACTAATCCTGACCATGATACCTAAACTAACCTCCAAAAGGCCCCACCTCCTAAAGATCATCACACTGGAGTCAGATATTCATCATATGAATGGGGGAGCAGGGTGTCCAGCAACTATTCAGTCCATGGAGTTCAGAAAGGATTTCGACTTTAAAAATGAGAACCATATATAGGATGACTCAGCAAGAGGAACGAAAGCTGATTTCTATATTTTAAAATAGTTTAAGATAAATTTCAGTGTAAGATACATAAGTACTGGCTATTGTTCACAGTGCTGATTTTCTTTAACAGAAAATTCACTTATGGAAATGTCTCCTGTGCATCCAAGGATGATAGACACAGGTGACAAGTGATCTGTTTAGGAGTAGCAAGTAATAGTCGATCAAGACTACCTTGACCTTTCTTAGTCAAAGAAGCAAGGAAGAATACAACTCCGGGGGTATTTTAATTGTGAATTCAAGTAGATTGGAAAAAGAAAGATCAGTCCTGTGGGGTTCAGCCCAAAGCATTGATTGGAAATAGCGATTCCAAATCTTTCTGAGTCTTTGGTTTCTCTTTGTTGACTTCTAAAAGTGATGTGAGACAACTATTTGCAGAGGGGAATCTAAACTATTTGAATCTCTTTTGAGATTCTCCACATAATGGAAGATGTCCCAAGATGTTGTAAAAAGAAGGCTGAAGGGCTGTAGAGAAAGCTCAGCGGTTAAGAGCACTATCTGATCTTGCAGAGGACCTGGGTTTAGTTCCCAGCACCCACGTGGCAGCTAACAACCATACCAGTCGCAGAGGAATCCAACACTCTCTTCTGACCTCCATAGGCATTGCACGACACAAGTGTAATTACATACATGCAGGCAATACAGTCATACATATAATATGAAAATAAATAAAATAATTTTTAAAAGAAAGCTGAAAAACATCCCCCAATGGCATATTATTTCAATAACATTGTCTTAATTTCACTTTCAACACATGAAAATGGCTGAAATATTATGGCTGAAATATTAAAGTTATTCTAAGTTGTTGGGGATTTTTTTTGCTATTATAAGGCACCAATACCATTTCAAAAATAGCTGTAAGACAACACTAGTACAAGGAAATTATTTCCACATAATAGTGGGTCTTTAAAAGGCTAATACAAATCTGTTTAGAAGTTACACATATTTGTATTTGTTTAAAGGGAAAAATAAAAAAATAATTCATTGCCTATGTTGGGGAATGGGAAATAAGTACAGTAAATCACAGCTAATCCATTATTTAGTCAAGATAGCATTCCATCCACCCTCAATTTTACCTTCCTCCTATTTCTAACCTATGTTTTTTCCTCTATCTGGGAACTTCTCAGCTACAGTTCCCAAGTTTACATGCCTTTCATGGAACATTGGAACATAAGCTCTGAGTCTCAACTGGCAGTACCAGGAAATTTCCCATGTAAATCGATATGTTTGAATGGATCAGATCCTTCTAGAAAATGAATCAAGAGAACTCATAAGAAAAAAAGTTCACAGGAGAATATTACAGTTCATCCATGCTTTCAAGGAAACAAATGCTATTGATATTTACATTTTCTGAAAATAGAATGGGACAAATACAATTCTCTCATAGTAGAGCCCAAACAGTGAGAAAGGGGTAGGTTCAGTCAGGCATAACCAAAGATCAATGGGAAAATAAGCCTCCTCTCTAGGTATATTCATGAAGGCAGTTTTGCATGCCACTTACAAGTGCTGTGTGCATGAGATGAAATAAGAGCAGATCTACCTAGAGTTTCCTGGATCCAATGCAAGCTACAAAAATGGGGAAAGTTTGGATAGCAGAAAAAAAGCATTTATTAAGCACCCACTCTTGCTACATCTTTTACACACATGCTATCTTATTTTCAGTGGTAATCAACTCTTTAGACTCAAACCATGAAAAATTTCTCTCAACATCTTTAGAGTGAAAGCTGCCATGAGGGAAGCTGTGTGTGTGTGTGTGTGTGTGTGTGTGTGTGTGTGTGTGTG